CACGGCCTTCAACATGCCGGCTGGTGCGCCGCAGGCAGGAGAGGCACTGCAGGACTGGTGCACGAGGCACGGCTCGCCCGGGCGTAACGCGAAAACGATCCGCACCGTATGTCTGCTCACCCTGTGGGAGCTATGGAAGCACAGGAACGTCATAGTGTTCGACGGGGTGAACGTGAGCGTCACACGCCTTATGGAGCGAATAGGAAGCGAGAGTAGAGCTTGGATGCAGGTGGACATTTTGAGAGGAGACCTTGCAGCGGTCTTCATAGGGGCATCGGAGTGGGCACACGGCGAGTAGTCGGTTTAGTGCTTAGGCGGATGGCGACGAAACGCCGGTAATTATGTAATACAACTGCGGAGGGCTCTCCCCTCTTTCTTCTTTAATATATGATACGCACACTAGTGCGTATTCGAGAAAAAAAAGATATTACCAATCATACCCCCTCTACATATACTATTTTTTTTCGAGGGCTCTACTTATACTGTTGTGCTGTATATATCGCGAGTTCAGTTGAAAGTATGTGTGCATAGACGTCGTCACGTACACCCAGCAGTTGTTGCTGGTGTTGGTCGACGCGGATACAGCTAGTGGCCGGCACGGCGGGATCGGCTTTGTCTTGGGCGCATTAAGTGGCTTTCGGCGGGGTTGGCTTTGGTGGCACGGGCGACGGCCGGTGGCATCGGCTTCGGAGGTCTGGGCGGTGGCATAGGCTTCGGCGGTCCGGGCGGCGTTGGCGGCTTTGGACCCGGGTTTGGCCCGGGGTACGGCTGGTTGTGGAAGCATTTGGTCCCACATGCCTTGTAGCAATCCACCTGTTTATCTGTAATCAAGGAGAGTCATGCTGGTTATGTACGTACTGTACGAGCAAGTAAAACGCATGTTGCTCTTGTTTGGACGGTGGCACGCACCTGGTGGCAGGGTGAGGCAGGTCTGGGAGATGCACATCTTGAAGCACACCGGCGGCAGTTCCTTGTAGCAGTCCAGGATGCACGACTTCTTGCACTGGAAGTACTTCTGGACGTCGCCGCTGCTGCTGTTGTCGCACTTGTGCATGCAGGTGGAGTAGCACTGCCAGCACTGGGTTTCATTTCCGGCTGGGGGAGGTTGGGGGTCCGCCGCTCCTGCTGCTGCGAAGAGCGCCGTCGCGGCCAGGAGGACGGCGATCTTGGCCGCCGCCATGGAGACCATGCTTCCCTAGTGTGTGAGGTGCGTGGAGATGGAGATGGACGGGTGTGACTGCCTTCGCACAAGAAAGGTGGTATAAATAGGGTTCTTCGATTCGGCGGTCGCGTCATCGTCATGCATGCAGATCGAGTGCACGGGACAATACGAAACTGAATCGGTTAGGCGCGGCCTGAAGATGCAGCACACGTCCCGCAACTACGTACTCCCTCATGCTTAATGCGCTCGTGCCAGCTTCGCATGCGTGGCGCATGAATGCATTTGGCAAAGTGGGCGTAGGCACGTCAAGGTTAAGCTGGACACATCAACAAGCATCCAAACTTCGCACTATACTGCTTGCCACAAATTAACCGTGCGTGTTGCGGGAAGGTGTATAGAGTGCATGGACGTTCCTGTTTCCACACCGCAAATGAGACATAGGTCGGACATTCTAAGGTTTCTTGCGTGCTTATTTGCCCAAGTTGAAAGAGAAAGAATAGCAAGCTCCCAAGAAAATATTCGTAAATGAGATATATGTTAGACGTTTCAAGGTTTCTTGCATGGCCGTGCACATTCTTACTACAAGAAATTCTCCCTGATCGGGGCACATTCTTACTACAAGAAATTCTCCCTGATCGGGGCACATTCTTACTACAAGAAATTCTCCCTGATCGGGGCACATTCTTGATGGTAACCATTTTTTGAAATCCAAGCTTAACCTTGACGTGAACAGCACATTTGTCTAACATAAATTAATCATTTTCTTTTAAAGAAATGTGAAGCATATATGGTACTATTGTTCTCCAAGATTTACAAACATATAGTATGTGTACGTGTTTCGATCCTTAATTCTTTCTTAGGGGGAAACCCAGTATAATAAATGTGTGCCATGCGACCAATCCGAAGATGTAAAATTTATAAGCCTACACATACACTGGTCATTGTAGAATTTCTTCCAGAAATAGAAAATATTGTTTGAAAATTTTAGACCATATGTAATAAGGACATGGATATTTTTTTAAATATACCGTACCATGATGGAGACATTTATTAAAAAACATAAAAAGTATTCTCATTCAGGCAGATATTTGTGTCCTCATTTTTGAGCTGCGCACAGTATTAGAAATTTTCAAGCAATGATCAGTAAACATATGGAGTTATAGACTTCCCGTGGTTGTAACTCCATGTTCTCAAAAAATATAAACGGATGGTGCGAGAAGTGAAGATTATTCTGCCGTGCATAATCACGGAGAACCATTCCCGTCCCTGTTGTGTTGTCTTTTGCATAGGAGGAACCATGGATGTTCAACTTTACCCATCTTGTTTCAGGAGGTGTCCGTGGAAATTAAAGCCACAACCAGTTTCTTGTTATCATGTGTGCTCTTCAACGAAAAGAGACCCCGTGATAACATTCTTGTTCCTTTCAATATGTCCTGGTTCGGTAACTGAGCAATGCTTACCATGCAATCTTGGTAGCAAATGGGGAAACATCTCGAGGCCTTGATGGGGGTGTCTGGCTTGGATTCTAAAAGTTCGTCGCGAACATATTATATGCACTAGAGCATCATTGGAACGGTCACGCGAGCGGTCTCAAATAGATCACCAGTGATATGAAAGCATCCACTCAGGACCAGAGGACACGAGCTGGGACACATCAACAAGCATCCAAACTCCTGCCATTGCTTGCGACAAATTAATTGTGTTGGGGGGAAGGGTCTACAAAGTGCATGGAAGTTGTTGTCCTATTTCACATCGCAACGAGACATATGTCAGACATTTCAAGGTTTATTGCATGCTTATTTGTCCAAGTTGGGAGAGAATACGTAGTAATCTTCCAAGAAAATATTGGTAACTTAGGAGGGCAAGACCCCCCCCCCCCCGGCAAACTGCCACAGACGACATATCGTCTGTTCGGTGCCCTGCTCATGGTGTTGGTAGAAGCTTGATGGAGCTCATCAAAAGCCAAACGATAAATGATTTCGACAGTGAGGGATCTGATTCGCTCTGTAGCCCATGAAAGACAGTCCTTGACCAACCGGGGAGATGGACGACCTTTTTAAGATTTTGTTAACATCTAGAGGGAGGAAGAACTGACGCGGTAGGTTAACATTCCATGTGCCATTGGCTCCAATAGTTTGAGTCCCATCGCAACCAGCATTGCACTTGTTTAATGACTAATTTCCTTGATGTCATGCGAGGAATCCAGCTGTCCCAACAAACTTGAACGCTCTGCCCATTACCTATGCACCAAAGGAGGCCCTTTTTCAGAAGTCCTATCCCATAGTTTGTTGTCTTCCCAAGTAGAGGATTAATTCCTAGAGAAAACAATGACATTTCGATAACATTTTAATTTTAACATGCTTGGACAAGGTCTTCATGGATAGCTACCAATGGCCAAGCCTATGTAGCGAGCAAAGCTTGGTCAAAAATTCGGAAATATCCAAATTCAATATCACCCTGGCCCTTGGGCTTGATGATCCTATCCCATGTGTTCCAATCTATTTTACACTTTCCTTGATTAAAACCCACCAGTAGTTGTGTACTACATGATTAAGATCATCACAGACAACCATCGGGAGCTTGAAAACGTTCATCATATATGGAGGGATTTCATGTGCAACGGACTTCATTAATATCTCTTTGCCCGCCTGAGATGGGTATTCATCCCCTCATGCCATGAACCACTTAGTATGATTTGCTTAAAGATTATGTGGCTTGAAGATTCAGAAATTTGCCCATTGACATGCGACCATCGGGCGTCGGGAGACCCCTAGTATTTTTCTTCAAATCTCACTATAACTACTTGTAATTGTGCATGCTCTGCCATTTTGGGCAAGAATTACCAAGCAAGAGGGAGCAACTGCATGGATTAATGTTCTGGTGGGTTCCTTCTACAAATTTGTTAAGAATGCTCTAAACCTAACTTGCTTGATGACCATCGGCTTTAAAGAGTAGTAGGGTGTCATTGGCCAATCACATATGTGAAATTCTGGGCTGTTGAAATATATTGCCCGCCTTCCTCCATCAGTTCGAATTTTTGGATGAGTTGGCTGCAAAATAAATTCAATATGGTATTAGAGCCAAGAGGTCTTGAGTTCAAGACCCTGGCAACGCAGTATTAAATAAAAACGATTCTGCGATCTACATCGATCCCACGTCTAAGCGTGAGGGGGAGTATTGAAATATATTGCCCGCCTCCCTCCATCCGTTCGGATTTTTGGATGAGTTGTTTGGAGAATGAATTCAATATGGACGCCCTATGACATACCATGACATGGGATGCTTCACCTGAAACGATCCCTTTATTGAATAGAGAAGAGAGTGTGTTGGTAATAAATAAAAGGAAGTACGAATACAGTGGATCGCCTTAACGTAGCCTACGAGACAGTGCAAATGATTCCAAAATGGCTCTATTAAATTTTATATGATATCACACATAAGTCCCACATGTCATTATCGAATTGACCCACTGATGAGCGAAGCGTTTGCATCACTTGCTTACCGTAATTCTAGTAAATTCGATCATATGCTTTAGATAAATCTAATTTATAAGCACAATGACTCCTTGTTGGGTTCCTTCTCTTGCTTTATATGGTGGATAAATTCAAAAATTAACAAGGCATTAACAAATTCGGTATACTCAAAATAAACCTCTGATACAAAATTGACAATCTCTGAATAAATTCTGTGAGAGGAAAGACCCCACGCGACTTGGCAAATTCTGTATCTATTGGTTGATCCCGTCCTTTCGCGGAATCAACTTCTAAATAAAATCTAGAAAGTTTTTGTCGGCCTCAAACTAGCAATACTTGGGCTGCTTGGCATGGGCAATTCAGCATCACATGTCCGAACTTATACTGGCACTGCCCGGCCGCCTGCATCCCTTGGTCGCATAGCTCTTGTGGCACGTGTCCAGGCACACGGCCATCATCTTGCTGTCCGGGTGGAGCTGGCCGCACATGGAGAGCACGCACGAGTGCTCGCAATCGCCCCCGTCGCCGTCGCGAGCCTTCACCGCCGCCGCCGAACGGCCGCCGGAGCACCTGTGGTAGCAAGAGAACTGGCAGAACCAGAACTCCTCGCGCGGCACGCACTGGTCGAAGCACGCGTCGAAGCAGGGCCTGCCCACGCCGACGCCGCCCGCTGCAGCAGCGATCACCACCGATCCCACGAGGAGCAAGACTGCTGCGGCGACGGCGACACGTCCCGGGATAGCGCCCGTGCCGATCCCCATTGCAGCCACGCCTAGCGGTTCGTAGGTCGCGAGATAAGATCGCAACGCAAGCACGGGGCAGGGATGGATTGGATTCGTAGAGCGAGTGTTGCTTCGGTGGTTGGTTTATGCGGTCAGTGGATGGGTCGCTAGCGCGCGAGTGGTTGGGCGGCCGCTGGTGTTTCCGTGCATGGATTGGTGCGGCGGCAGCTCACCGGCTCATGGTTTGAGTGTGACCGCCCTTCGTGGAAGAATCGAGGAAGCAATCTGGCTGCAACAACTCTCTGTTTCTTGCCGCTCTTGTTCCGTCGACGCAAAATCAGGGATCCGTTTGCGAAATGGTTATTACAACACGCCAATGGCCGTAACTGGGCCACTAATCATGGAACTGGCTCAGATTTTTTTTTTCTTCGCGAATACGCAAGCTGCGTATCTTTTTTTTTTTTGCGGTCTCAAAACCTGTATTACTCAATCATAGTCTCATTACATCCTTCCTGAGCTAACTCCAATACCTCAGGCGGACCTGACCCTAACCAGGTCATAGTCCTTCTGTTTGTACGACCATAGGAAGCTAAGATGCCGCTCGCTTTATTCTGCGATCGAACGACTAGAGTAATACAAGATTGATGCGAAGAAAGTAAACTTCTAATATCATTAACTAGCGACGAGTATATAGATCGATCAAAGTCTCCACATGTGATCATGGAAACTGCCACTGAGGAATCCATCTCCACTTCGATCGGCAAATCTGTACGTTGAACTGATGAAGAGAAACCCTCCCAACAGGCGGATAGCTCCGCCTCAAGTGCATCATTGCATGAATATAGGGCCCTGCATGCTGCAAAAATAATCCTCCCTTCCTCATCACGCAGAATCATGCCGGCCCCTGCATCATCACTTGACACAAATGAGCCATCAGTGTTTAGTTTGCTCCAACCCTTCCTGGGTTTAGTCCAAGGCATATTCGGTATATAAGCAGCCAGCTGCTTCGTAGGTACCATGAAAACGCTTGTCTTGCCCTTCATCGGATCCATATTAATACCATGTTTGATTGCCCAGAGTGAATCCAAGTAGCTACGAAGATATCTCACTGAGACTTCCAAAGGCGACGCTGGTTTGTGATGTACCACTTCATTACGAACGAACCAAGCTCTCCAGAAAACGAGCAGTAGCATGCATCTCTCCATATCACTTTTGGTTGCTAGAATTTGTAAAAGCCATTCCTTCCCGCAATTCTCCAGCGACTGAATCCGAGGGAGATTCCAGATCTTTGCCATTTCCCTATATAAGTCACTCCCAAACTGACATCTCAAAAACGGATGGAAATTGTCTTCAGTATCTAGACCACATATCGGGCACCTGCTTGTAGTTTCCAAACCGATCTTGTGTTTGTTCTTCCATGTTGGCAAACCATCAGTTGCGAGCCGCCACACAAAGGTTGAAACTGTGGGCGGAACACCACATTTCCAAATGAAATTCCAGCAACTTCTTGATCCTGAGGGCGCCGAGCTGGAAGCAACAGCCACAGCCCTATGAGCCTCCTCGAACGCCATATGATAGGCACTTCTGACAGAAAAAACTCCCCTCTTGTCCGGCCCCCATGCTATGAAGTCCTCACCCCCTCTCCGGGGCACTTTAATCTTTAGAATCTCATCCACATCTGCCTGAACAAAATATTGCTGCAGTATCTGAACTTTCCACGAACCATTATCATTTAGCAGATCAGACACAAATCGTATACGGCAGATTCCCTATCTAGAGATTGGTTTATAAGAAAAAGGGCGTGGAATCCAATTATCCCTCCATACCCGAATGCTCTCACCATTACCAACTCTCCATATCAAGCCTTTCTTCAGCAGCTCCAATCCGTGGCTAATAGCCGACCAGGAGGAAGACGCATTTCCAGTGAATACCGTATCCTCAAGCTTACCATGCGGATAATATTTAGCTTTTAGCAGACGAGCACACAAGCTCTCCGGTCTTGTTAACAACCTCCAGGCCTGCCGAGCGAGGAGCGCTTGATTGAAAAGCCGAAAATCTCTGAAAACGCCCCTTCTATCTTTAGGTTGCATAAGATGGTCCCAACCCTTCCAATGTACTTTCCTCTTCCCCTTCTCCGATCCCCAATAAAAGTTCCTCACCATTCGGGTCAGATCGTCACAACCCGAGTAAGGCAGCTTAAAAACTCTCATAATGTATGTGGGCAAAGCTTGTGCGACAGATTTTATAAGAACCTCCCTTCCTGGCTGCGCCAAAACCCCGTCTCCCCATTGCACTAGCCTTTTTGTAAGGCTTGTTTGAAGGTTCTGAAACTTTCCTTTTGACATACGGCCCTCAGGTGTGGGGAGGCCCAAGTATTTCTCCTCAAAGCACAAACTAGTTACTTGTAAAGCATCTCTGACCTGCTCCTGAACCGAAGAAGGACAGGCTTCACCGAAAAAAATCGAACATTTGTCATAGTTCAGACTCTGGCCAGTGGCCGCACCATACAGATCCAAAGCATGTTTAACCTGTTCTGCCTGCTCTCTTGAGGCCTCAAAGAACAGCATCGTATCATCAGCAAACAGCAGATGAGATATTCCGGGCGCTCTTCTGCAAATCTTAACAGGAGCAATAGAACCATCTCGCACTGTCTTCCTCAAAATAGCTGAAAGTCCATCTGCCACAAAAAGAAATAAGAACGGAGAGAGTGGGTCTCCTTGTCGCAGCCCCCGCGACGGTGCAAATGAATCCAGGAGGGTTCCATTTAATTTTACTAAATACCTCACCGATGTGACACATACCATAATCCAATCAATCCATCGACGAGAGAACCCTAGCCTTTGCATCACCTGCTTCAAGAAGGCCCAATCAACCCTATCATAAGCTTTTGACAAGTCTAGCTTACAGGCACAAAAACTTTTTGTGGGATCTTTCTCCTGTTTGATGTAGTGGAGACATTCGAAAGCAACCAAGGCATTATCAGTTATCATTCTTCCCGGGATGAACGCACTTTGCTCCACCGAAATAATATCATCCAACAATGGACGCAACCGGTTAACCAAACATTTAGATATTACCTTATAGATCACGTTGCAAAGACTGATCGGCCTGTAGTCTGACATCTTAGCAGTGTTAGAGATTTTCGGGATTAGCACAATAGATGTTGCATTAACTCCTTCCGGCATAACCCCTGTGCTGAAGAAATCCGTTACCGCCATCAACACTCCCGCCTTCACCGTACTCCAGTTGCGTTGGAAGAACCATGCTGGAAATCCGTCTGGCCCGGGTGCCTTTAACGGTCCAATCTGAAACATAGCATCAGAAATCTCGCTATCGGTAAAAGGGGCACAAAGCCTATCATTATCCTCCGGCGACACAACACGTTCAAAGAGATCTACAACCTCCGTTGCAACAAGGGAAGAATCTGCTGAAAAAATATTGTGGAAATATTCGTTTGCAATTCTACTCATATCAGCAAAATCGGCATGAACAACCCCAATAGAATCAGTAAGTTCCCGTATCTTATTTTTCCTTGCCCTCCAAACCGCTTTGCTCTGAAAATACTTGGTATTACGATCTCCCTCCTTCAACCACTAGATCCTTGATCTCTGCATCCACATCATCTCCTCCCTATACAAAAGTTCATTCATTTTATCCATAACAGCTCGTATCTCATCTCTATCCGCATTCATATGCATGAGCTCTTCTAGTTGAGTTCGTGACTTCGCCAGTTCTCTCGTCACACTACCAAACCTCTTACTCCATGTACCAATAGTCGTCATTGTTTTGGACAGTGCATCCCTTAACTGTGACAGATTACGGATCTCACCGACCGCACTCCATGCATCTTGCACTATTTGTGGTAATGTCGAGTCCCTCTCCCAAAAAACCTCATATCTTCGACTCCTTACTTTCATAGGGCCCGAGTCCAGTTCCCCTTGCAAAAATAGCACAAGGTGATCTGAGCATGGGGATGGTATGTGCTCGACCACAGCAAACGCAAACAGATTCCGCCATCTGTTCGTAGCAAAAGCTCGATCCAGTCACACTTTTACATTGGCGATCTCCCCCGCTTTGTCATAAGTAAACTGCACGCCCATAAACCCCAGATCCACGAGCTCACACAGCTCTAATGTATCACGAAAGGCCACCATCTGTGCTTCTGCTCTGGGTGTGACCGAAAGATGTTCGAAATCCCACATGGCTTCCTTAAAATCACCAATTACAAGCCAAGGTAAATCGTTGATGGCCTTCAAATTCTGTAACTTGGACCACATAAGATGTCTGTGCTCCACCCACGGATCCCCATAGACAAAGGTAGCTCGCCACTCCACCGCACCCTGACGGGCTTGGATTACCGTGTCAATGTATTTGTCATCCTTGCCCAAAATTGTAACCACACAATCTTCCCTCCAAAAGGGCGCTAATCCACCACTAAGACCATTACTATCAACACCACAAAACCCCTTGAGCCCTAGCTTGGCTCGGATCCTCTTCATCTTGTCCTCCTTCTGCCTAGTTTCACACAAGAACACAATCATGGGGGAACGCGACTTACACAACGTCGCTAATTCTCGAACTGTCTGGGTGTTCCCCCCTCCCCGGCAGTTCCAACTTAGGCAGTTCATTGGGCTCGGCGGTCCTCCTCCCCGGAGGCCGCGTGTGTAGTTATGTCCATGACCTCACCTTCCTTCTCCTCCCCACCTCCATCTCCATGTCTCCTTCTTTTCACAATGGGATTCTTCCCTGGCGTTCTATTCGAATCCGTAGGCTTCTCCTCACCCACACTTTCACCATTCTCCAAGCGAAGAACCGCATCCGCCACCTTCCCGACCAGGTGAGGTACTGCCTGGCCCCTCACATTTACCACACCATCATCCCCACAAGCCTCTTCCTAACTGTTCTCTCCTCAGTTGCTTTCATCATCTTAAATTGCATTATGTCCATCCCCACCGTCAGCTCTAACCCTCCCTCCTTCTGAATGACAGCAGCACCCTCCTCCTCCTCTACATGTGTCTTTCCTCCAAAACCTCCATCTC